AATGGTAAATTGGCCACCGTAATGATTACAAAAGCTGACGTTTCGAGCGTTAGCCCTTCGTCGGAAGCTCTTTTCAGAACTCATCGAGCCCCCGATCAACTCACAAAATAATGATGATGATTTGTTGACTGGGTTATTGTCACCTATATGCTCTCCAGTTGGTACAGTATGTAAACTGTAAGCCAACTCTATATCCATAGAGTAAAAGTGTGACTTCGTGTCAGCTGTCGCCCCGAGATGTACATGAACTTCGTCGGTAGCTCTTTTCAGAACTCATCGAGTCCCCGATCAACTCACAAAATAATGATGATGATTTGTTGACTGGGTTATTGTCACCTATATGCTCTCCAGTTGGTACAGTATGTAAACTGTAAGCCAACTCTATATCCATAGAGTAAAAGTGACTTCGTGTTAGCTGTCGCCCCGAGAAGTACATGAACTTAGTCGGTAGCTCTTTTCAGAACTCATCGAGCCCCCGATCAACCCACAAAATAATGATGATGATTTGTTGACTGGGTTATTGTCACCTATATGCTCTCCAGTTGGTACAGTATGTAAACTGTAAGCCAACTCGATATCCATAGAGTAAAAGTGTGACTTCGTGTCAGCTGTCGCCCCGAGATGTACATGAACTTTAGAGGAAGCAGCACCGTGAGCTGTTGTGAGGAGCTCTGTTTCTTAAATCTGCTGAGCAGGAGTCGAAGGTCTCTCCATGTATCATATACCTCTCTTCAGTTGTAGAGGCCGCCTTTTAGGTGCAGATGTTCTTGTTGATTACATCAGAGCTTGATTCTCCGTCCTCCTAGGCATAGAATGCTTTCAACTGCGACCACAGCAAAGCCTCCATAAAAAGCTTGTGTGCTCTAGCTCCACGGGTGAATGACTTTGAACTTCTTCTATACTACTTTCTTGAAATTTCTGGCCTATTGCAGCTAGAAAGCTTAACGCACAAACAAATAATAACATTCTGAAATACCTCAGGCTATCTCTACTAAATTTCTTTTGCCTTTGTATATAAGACAAGATCAATGTTCATGTATTTTCCGCGTGAACAGCATCTGCGATTTATTCTTTTCAGAATTTTCGATTTTATTTCACAGAATCACCTTTTTCCTTGGTTTCCCTAGAAACCATTGCCATGTAACCAAGCGAAATTATAATCCTTCAAGTATTTTTGCTCGCGTAAGAATGGTCGAAACGCATCTCGTGATCGAATATGTGGTACTAGATCCAGGATTACCGTCACGAATAAAGAACAAGGTTCTACTCTTTAAAATCCAGAAGTCGGTGCAGTAGGAGTAGCTTGGTGTAAATTGGTGTAGTTTAGACTTGTTTGTTCGTTCATAGACTCGTATCAGAAAACACTGAAAAATAAACATCCCACGCCGCAAACAATAAGCTGTTCGTAAACAATTTCCCGGCGTGTTGCTAAAATTTATGAAGGGTAGTAAACACAACAGCCTCCATTTGGCGCAAAAATATGCTCGAATATATTTGCCTTGGATATTATCTGTTCCTCAAAGCTCATAGTTTTCCTCGAGCTTCGCTCTCGGAAAAACTATTCTTTTCTCTGAACAGTCAATGTCTGCGGACAAATATCGGTGCATATTTTCTTGCCTAACGGAGGGGGCTTTTGTTTATTTATCCCACGGTAAGCAATTTCCGACGTTACTTCACCCCTCCAAATTTTATTTTATTTGGTCGAGTGGTTCTAGATGAAAAGTTCCTGAACACATTAATATCGGTTTTGTCAAAAGTACTTCACCGCCCCCTAATAGCGAGCCGCTAACCCCACGATTTGTGACGACGACTAACGTCATGTTGATCTCTGGGTATCAGGCTATCATAATCTGATGTCAAACCTTTGTGTAGTGGGGTGCTACGTGGTCGATTCGTTTTGGCTTTACTCCCGCGACTATTAATTGCCTCATGTTTAAGCGTTGGACTGTGTTCGCATCAAAATTCTGCAGAATGGAAGTACATTCGGAGAGGAAACAACGTATCCTCATTCAGTAAGATTTTCTTGTGACGAAGGCTTTACACTCTTGGGATCTACTGTAAGACACTGTCTTTCCAGTGGAATATGCAGTGGTCAGCAGGCGTCGTGTCAAGGTAGAAAGCTGTTGTCCAGATTGTGGATGGGTGTGAACAAGAATTTTAACCCTGTGTTGACAATTACTGAACGTAGTAATTGCATAGTGTAGATGAATTCTTGATAACTGTAGCAGAAAGTCAGATGTACCTTGTTGCATCTGTCCAAAACCCGAGGTATCCAAATTTATGCAGAAGACTGCAAACTGTTAAGTATACGTCACAAGTTTTTCCTCAACAGTTTTGTCGATGAGATTGTACAGATGTTTCAGTGTTCGAGTATGTAATTTGAACCATAGATCGCGATCCACGAAATGAATTGAAGATCAAATACCCTCTAGCCAAATTATTGGGGCAATAGGAGATGATCGAAAACATTTAAGTCCTTTTCTCCAATATCAGTATGTTCTAATGGTGTTATTGAATCTTGGGCCGAAGTTTATGCCTAAGCGTAAATGGGTGATTACCGTCTACTTTTAGCGAAAGACTGTGGTCCACTTGCATCGCCGTCAAATGGATCTTCCTTTGGACGCGACACTACCTTCCCAAATGTCATATCATTCTACTGCGATGTGGGCTTCCTAATGATTGGGTCACAAACACGAAAATGCCAGGTCAACGGCAAGTGGAGTGGCAACGAAACAACTTGTAGAGGTAATTTAGAAATTTTCAAACTACTCATTCTCTTATTTTCCTATCTTTGGAGTGTAGACCCATTTATGTCCCACCCCCTTTCCGCAAAGAGCTACATGCATGAAAAACAAAATGAAAAGTCAAACATCTGAAATTGTGCTCGCTGAGGTCATTTCTTGGACGAGAAGACTCAATGAAAATTGTAGAATTTTTGGAAAGAATAGAAACCTGGATAGTACCTGTCGAAAGGAAATTAAGGATACGAGATTAAAAAAAAAAACCAATTTGCAGTCGGATAGGTATGTAAGTATGTTTTCAGTGTTCAAAAGATCACTTAACTTTAGACTTTGGATTCAGTGTCACGCTTTGTTCGCTCATTTAGTTGCTAATTTTGCACGAAAGACAGTTATAGACTTGTTCGAATTTCAAAATTTGTTCCTCGAAAGGATTTTCGTAACAAAAGTACTGAAATGCGACTAGACCACCGTGATGAGCTTTCTTTCTTCATTAACGGATCTCTAACTTAAGCAGAAAGTAATTTTCTTTTTCCAAATGTTTCATCTTTAGAAGGTAACAAACAGTACACAATTCACAATTTCGTATTTCAATTTTTTCAGCTGTGGAATGCGGTTCACTTGCGATGCCATTAAATGGTTCTACGTATGGCGAACTTACCACTTATCCCAATAAGGTGTACTTTAATTGCGATGAAGGATTTGTCCTTGAAGGATCCTCTGTAAGACTTTGCATGGCAAATGGATCTTGGAGTGGAAATGAGACTTACTGTGCAGGTGAGTTGGATAGTAAAAAACGTCTTCATTAATTCTTGTCAAGTTTGTCATTCGAAGTTTGGATCAGTGACATTCGATAACAACCATCACTGTTCTTTTTATAGAATCATCTCCGCAGTTTCTTTCTATCTATCTGTTTCTAAAATTTGCATTTTTCACAATCTGACAAAAGATTTTCTTCCTAAAGAAAACTCACTATTGCCACGCATCTTCGTTGAAGAAGGATGGCATTTAAGATGCTCGTTGTCGCAAAACTGTCCTCTTTTCTAATTATATAACTTGTCAACACGGGGCCATGTTGGTATCCATAAGTCAACCGTGATTGTTTTATTTCAATGCAGTATCTGTAGCACAAATCTTAAAACAATATAGATTCTTTCAGTATAATGAATTGTCAAACATTACGAAGGCATTCAAGGATCTGTAACTTTTTTCCCCTCAGTATGCTGGAATTTTCTCGTGATAAAGACTACATTGAATACATAAGGATGCGTTTCATGGAAGTGATGCGCAAAATATTAATGCAGAAAATTTTACAAATGAAACATTTGGAGCCAGTTAGTAAGGTATAGACCACTTTCATAAATGGCTGCCGGATTAATATTCTTTTGTTTAAATTTTAATTAGCCCTTCTGGCCTCGCTTGAGATAATGTATTCTTTTGAATTTTGTACTGGAGAACGAGGTCAGAAGGGCTAATTTAAATTTAAACAAAAGAATATTAATCCGGCAGCCATTTATGAAAGTGGTCTATATGATAACTGTTAATTTCCTTGTCCATAGCTATTAACTGCGGTGAATTAGCTGTTCCAGAAAATGGAACGTTACGAGGATCTGCCACTACCTTCCCGGGTAGAGTTGATTTTTCTTGTTACGAGGGCTTTGTACTCGAGGGATCTAATTTCAGAACGTGCCAAGCCAATGGAACATGGAGTGGAGTGAACACATCTTGCAGAGGTAAAGAAAATAACTACTAGTGAAGAGAAGGTTCTTTTGACAACATTTTCTCCTGGCAATGTTCGACTAAACCAAATATTTTTTGGTAATATGCCTCATAAACACGCACGCTTCGAGCTGTATACGTAAGAAAACACTCAGTGGAGGTTGTGCAAGT